AATCTTGATTTGAGAATGTTACGTCCTGTCTGTCCAATATAGCATCTGCCACATAACCAATTAATTCAAGCTAACTCCCAAACTCTCTTTACAAACGATGAGGGAATTATCTTACAGCCTCCTGAATTACGAACAACTGCATCTCGGTTTTCTAATTGCTTCTTTGTGCTGACGAGAAGGAGCCTCTATGTTTGTTGGCATTGAGCTGAATGTAATTAGCAATGTCAACTCGAATGGATGACTGAGTATTATCGGCATATAAGTGATAAGACGTAATACAGTTAACCTGTGGAGCCACACATTGAACCCAGCACGTTACTTGCCGATGTGGGTAGGGTAGGGGCCCCAGAGGGGTGTAGCTGTACAGACCTCCTTCCAGTAATTGGACCAACTGGGGGCAAGCAGTGTACGGTCCTGACACAGAGGAGTAGGCGAATGTCCCAACAGGTACAGGTGATGGAGGAGTGAAGGGCGTGCAGCCGTATAGTGACAACGGCGGCCCAGGAGATGGCTCGCGGCAGTGGGTGCCCTCAGGGCCGTGTCAGTAGTGGAGCGGGAGTTGGCGGGGTGTGAGACGCAGTTCCTTCTCGACACTGGGGCCGAGACCTCTCTGCTTGGTGGTAGGGTCCCAGTCACTGAACTGCAACCAGCATAAAATCTCCCTTCACAAAGCCAGTGGCACCGGAGTTAAGCTCCTGGGACGAGTTACTCTCAGGGTGTAAGTAGGCGAGCAAGAGTTGTGGCATGAGTTTCAGGTGGCTGACCAACTGTGCTGAGTGTATTGCCGATACAGACCTACTTCCACGCCTAAAGTTCCTCCTGGACTCGGAGCAACGGAGGCCATTAGGCCTCCACCTTCTGTACGTCATTCCCAAAGATCCACGGCGCCAGCTGATGGGCGCGGTTGGGTGTGTCCACCATACAATCACCATCCCAGTGCCATTGAGGCTAGAAGGTGATTGGAAGGCCATGGTTTCCCGCAGTGAGGTGGCGGTCACTCCCTGCCTGAGGCTCGCAAAGAACCACCAACTTGCGGGTTCCACCACCTTCGTTGACATGGACTGGGGCCAACTGTTCATGTGTGTCTTTCACCCCAATTTTATCGTGATTAAGTTATGAACAGGTACCTGGGTGACGGAAATCAACACCCTCTCCCAGGGCCACGACGGGGCTTCGGTCTTCATCCTGTGGGACGAGAACTCCATGGGACCCGAAGTGGAGGGAGAGGACCAGGCATGGAGGGTGGACCTCCCTGCACCAGAAGAGGAAGTACCCCTGCTTGAGTCTGTCCAGGTGGCATGGGACATGCTGGAGCCAAGGGAGGCATCCCAGCGATGAGAACTACTGGAGAGCTATGCCGACGTATTCAGCCATGTAGGCAGTTCAGGCCATATCTGATCGGGCGTGAGTGTCTGGTCTGTAAGGATCATTACGCGCTGAAGTATTTACTGAATTTCAAGGAGCCGTATGGGCAGATGGCACTGTGGTGCACCCACAGTGCTCCACAAGAGTGGTTGTCGTTAGCCCATGTGCGAGTGCGAATGTCGAGGCAGGTGGGGCGACAGTGAAAGAGGTTCTGGCAGCAGGCAACTTGGTTGGGGACATGAACTGCGCCTTCTCAACGTTGACATCTGAAGAGCCGTGCCAGGAACAACTCCGGGATCCCGAGCTGGCTGTGGTACTTAAAGCGCTGCTTGTAGATGAGGCAGAGGTTCTGTAAAACCCATGGCAGCTCCTGTTCCCACAGCTAATACTGACAGAGAGGGTCACTCAGGAGCAAGGGTGGAAAAAAACCCAATTTTTTTTGGCAAATTTTATCGGGTTATTAGTTTTATAAAACAAAAACATTCCATCGAAAAAAACATGGTTTTAATCCGGCAAGTCAAGTTGTCGTCAATCGGCGCCAGAGTCATTGGATTCACTGTCCTCTTCGATCATCTCAACCGCGCCGTCGAAGAAGGCGGGAATGTTGCTCTGGATGAAGACGAACTTCTCGAACGACTTCATGCTCAGGCTGTTCCTCAGCTTGGAGTGAATGAAGGCCATGGTGGAGAAGTTCCTCTCGGATGCGGCACTGGACGTGGCAATGCTGAACAGCTTGACGGCGATATTTTGCAGCTCAGGCCACTCACTGCCATCGGCCAGCCAATACTCCCATCAGCATCTTGCGAACCTTTGACCATCATCTTGTTGCGGAACGTGTTGTTTGTCTTCTCTTTGGTAGGGGCTATAGTTATAGGGATTAACAGGCAATAAAACCGAATATAACCGGATTTATGGCCATCTGAGATGATCGGTTTTTTATTAAAATCATGAAAAACCCGATGGAAAAAAACTCGATGCTGCCAGCCTTGCTCGGGAGGCACCATCTGAGACCAGCAGAGCGGGGGCGATCTGCATGCTGGCACATGTCCGCTTGGAGCTACTGAAACTGGCCCATGACCACCCATTGGCTGAGCATGAAGGGGCGCGACGAACAACAGACGAGCTCCATCGACACTACCTGTGGTCACGCCTGGGAGCAGATGTGAATGTGTGTAGACTCAGCAACGCGGAAAGAAGCCTGTCCGACAACCCATACCCCTACGGCCTCTGCGTGTGTCGGGGTGAAACCAGCTAGTCGGGCTGGATCTTATAGGCTGATGCCAACCATGGGTCGCAGCAACAAGTACATGATGGTCACTGTGGAGTATCTGACTAGGTGTCCCGTCGCAGTGGCCATTCCCGACATGCACGGAGACAGTGGCCGAGGCATTTGCATCGAGTTACATTCTGCAGTACGGCATGCCAGGGAGGGTAGTGATCGACCAGTCAGCTGTCTAGACATTGAGAAGGTCTAGAGCACAGCCTACCACCCTGAGACCAATGGCCTGGTTGAGCAGTTCAACGGTACCCTGGCCAGGATCCTGTCCCACCTAGCTGCTGAAAACCAGCAATATTGGGACCTGTACCTGCCCCACGCACTGTACGCGTATTGAACAAAGCCGCAGACCTCCACCAGGGAGACCCTGTTCTGGGCACTGTATGGCGAGGAGGCTCACATGTCGGCAGACCTGCTATTCGGGGAAGAGGCCCCGCAGTCACCCAGGGTGGAGCACCCCTTACACCGGCACATTAACTCCATTAGAGAGGTTCGCGCGTGCTTGGCAGGAGGGCAAGATGCCACACGAGTGGCAGGACCACAGCAACTGGCCCCAAGCTGGGCCAGTGTGCCAAGCTCATCCGCGCTTGGACCGGGCCACTGCAGGTGCAGCGCAAGGTCTTGCGCTGGACATTAGAGGTCAAGGGAGTGGATGCCCCCCCGAGGGAAATATAGCGAACGTGCGTCAGCTGTGGCGGTGGCAACTCCCCGTCGAAGCCAGGGCAGAGGAAGATATGGCCCAGCCTAAGCAACCATTGGCCTTTCGAGCCCTCATGGGGCTGGTGACCCTTAACCCACGTGTGCCTGAGTTTGTTCCACAGAGACAGGCACTGGCAGGGCCAAGGGTGCTGATGCAATGTGATCGAATACGTGGCGGTCCCCAGCAGAAGTACGGAAATGGCCGCGCCAAAGCCCGTGGGAACTTCCGCTTCTCGCTGGGAGTAATTAAAATGTTGATTGACAGCAGGCGTGTGAGGGAGGTGGGGAGGCGTGAAACGGGAGAGTCGGGGTTACGTGATTGGTGCTGGCGAATCCCGTATAACCGCTCCCCCTATCGGTAGAAAATTAGGGAGCTAGGGCCCAGAGTGGACATAAACCAGGGGCAGGGGTGGGCAGTCTGGCGGTGAGTGAGCTGGAGAATGGTTGTGTGTGGATGAAGAGTCTTCGAGCTAAGTACGGTACATGTGGTCAGTGTCTTAACGTGTTATGATTAAACAAAAATAGGAAGCATTGATAAACTCATAAATCCGAAGAAATAGTGTGGATTTGTATGTAAAAATGTAATAAACACTATCGTAAATAAAGTCACGTGGAAATAAATAAAAATCTGTTTTATTTTCACTTACCTCGAGTCCTGGCTCACTTGCCAGAAGGGGCGATATGCATCACGTGGAGGATCGCTCCGCCGAACAAAATAGTTCCGCGGTTCGATTCGTAAGTAAGACCGAACGTTTGCAAGTGAGGATGGTTAATAATTACAATTATTGTTATGGAGGTTCGTTTAAGTTCGACATTCGTATGTCAGGGACTGTCTGTAGAGCCCATGAATGTGACCATCTCTCAGATGAAGAGGAGCAAGTTCCAGATGGCACACCTGAAGAAGTTGAATCTCTCCCTTCACAGTGTGAACAGAAGGAAGCTCATCGACCAAATGGTATCATCGTCGACATCATCAAAGCAGCGCAACCGACTGCTGGGATAAACTATTAAAACTTTTTTTTTTTACCAGGTAAGACCCACTGAGTTTTTAGCTCTTTTTTCAGAAGCTACCTGGCTATCTCAAATAACAACCCCTATATCTTTGGTTCTTTCGGTAAAATCACTTAGAAAAATCAATAATAGATCACGACGTTTCCATCGCAACAACAAGCAATCGTCTTCAGGTGAGAAAGAGAAACAAGCCGCTGTGACGGGGCATTATATAGATCCCCCCTCGGATCTATATAATGCAGCGGCTTGTTTCTCTTTCTCACCTGAAGACGATTGTTTGTTGTTGCGATTGAAACGTCGTGATCTATTATGATGTATTACTTATTTTTCTATCTACGTTACTTTACCAAAAGAACCCAAGAGTATGAATTCCTGCAGTCACGAAAGCTTCAAATCAAGATTGAATGCCGAAATAATTCCTTAATAAGGAAAGGGTAATCTGACTGACCTAAACTGTAATATTACATCTGTAAAAAAAGAAAATCCTGAGATTTTTTTCTCTTCGTTTTTACAGTGAACATCCTCAGTAGTTTTACAGTAGTTCACGATATTGTTCCCCTGCAAGCAGTCAACAAGTACATGCATTGAGAGCTGCGTGTGTCTGGCAGGCAGCCATGTTGTGCAATTGTCAATGGAAAACGATGATTACCTTTGGCGCATGGTAACCCAAGCGACCACAATGATCACAACGATCAGGATCACTGACACAGGGACGATCACGAGTATGTTTTTGACCGAGGTTGGTGGTGCTTCTGTCCAGCTGGACAATGCAGTATTGCTTGAGGTTGCTGTGGGAAGAGCTGCAGTCCCCTCTGAGACAACACAAACACACACGCCCACATTGAAACAATTTTTTATATTATTTTGCCAGGTAAAGTCTACTGAGCTATGTAACTCTCTTTCAGAAGCGGCCTGGCCACAAATGACAGCTCAACTGAGTGGCTTGTGGTGCCACAACGACGGGGCCGCTCTGCCGAGCCAGGGAGCCGCCCGGCTTCCACCACTGCACTGCCCCCCATCACCCCCCCCACCTAAGCACGCACCCGCACCCACGTAGGGCCTTGTGGTCGGGTCACCTACCCTGAGTTTTCACCCGAGGGCCCCCTCGGGGGGTTACCCCACGGTTTCTCAGGGCCAGGGAATTGGACAGGACCCTTCCCAGGCTAAGTAACACTGCGGCGCCGTGGGCGGATTTGAGATCGCACGACCACGGCGAGCTCAGAGAGCCCCGCAGTTAGAAACGCATACAAACACAAACACGGGTCAGCAAGGCAGATAGCTAGGATCAGGACCCGGGGCTGCTGCTTAGCCAAAAGGTCAAAGGCCGGCGGGATCGCAAAAGGGCGGGAAATCCTAGGCTCAGGATTGGTCGAGAGACCAAGGCGGTCGGGACGGGGGCGCCTAGCCTTTGATGTGGATAGTTTAAAAGAAAACGCAGGGGCAGTAGGGAACTCTCTTCTTCTGGAGTAGTGACACGGGGTCAACGACGAGGGAGTCATCGGGCGAGCCGCAGGATCGTCTGCAGGACGACCTGAGCGCCGCAAGGTCACCTAGGACTACAGACGGTATCGTATTACGCGCCTTACAACACCTCAGAGCGGAGAGTAGGATCCGTAGGAGAAGGTTAGTTCAGGGTAAGGACGAGTAGGAAAGCGGTGTAACAGAGAGCGCAGCATAGAATAGGGCTGCACGCCACTGGAGAGTGGGTTGGAAGCGCCTTGCTGGCTCGTACACACACGGGTGGCTCGGTGAGTTAACAAGGGTTAATAAAATCTCGAGCGTAGTAACAAAACCGTGTTGTTGGGTGTTTTTGAACGTGGTATTAGCGTGCACTGCATTCGCGGGTGTGTGGTCGTTGTATGCGTAAAGGCCGTGGTCTCTGTACGATGGTGCGGGTACGGAGGTGTGTGTGCTAACGCCCGGGGAGAGCACTTTTGTGTGTTGGCGTGCCTACGCAGCCGTGTGAGAGGAGAATCGTCCTTGCACGATACTTGTGTTGACGTGCACGCGCGTGTGCGAAACCGCGGTGCGCAGTGAAGCTGTTAGCTTTGTGCGAGCTTGCGTGTGCTCGAGCGCGTAATCGGCTGCGCATTGTTGTACGGTTTATCTTGCGCGCACGGCGGCGGCAACTTGAGTCGTTGTGTCGGCGTGTGCCCCGCTTGCGTGTGCTCGTTACGTGCGTAAAGTGCGGCGCGGTGGTGAGTTCCTGACCCCCAGCCCCGCGGCTCGAGCGCGTAATCGGCTGCGCATTGTGGTACGGTTTATCTCGCGTGCACGGCGGTGGCAACTTGAGTCGTTGTGTCGGCGCGTGCCCCGCTTGCGTGTGCTCGTGTGATCCCGTGTTATAAGTGTGAACGCGTGTGGTACGGTGTATGCGTAAGCTCTCGTCGTGCGAAATCGGCGTACCCCAGGTGCGCGATCGTAACGTGAGCGGCCAGCGCGGTGCAGAGCGGCGCAAGAGTGGGTATCGCGTGTGGAGCTGTATGTGTGTGCGCGCACGTTCACGACGTGTATAATACAGGTGCGCGATCCTAACGCGAGTGGTCAGTGTTGAGTGAGTGCCGTGCAGAGCTGTGTGTGTGGGAGTGCGCATACGTTCGTTACGTGTCGGATACGGATGCGCATTGGTAACGTGCCGCACAGGGCTATACTGCGAGCACGGCGTTTGATTGATGATGATGTGCGCACGTATGTTCGCAGCGTGGGAGCGCGGCGCGAGGCTGTAAATAGTAGGGGTGTCGCGTTCGAATGCCGGCGAAACCGTAGCGGGTAATAGGGAGGTGGGGTAACGTAAACGAATAGGGGATGCAGGCGGGAGGGACCCCGGGGGCCAACGGCCCCCACAAATTGGTGTCAGAAGCGGTACGGACCCCCGCGTTACCTCACGCTAAAATAAGACTAATATTTACCGGCCGGGGGGCCCCTTCGTGGAAGGCATTCGCCCGCAATCTCTTAGGGGCCAAGGAAATTAATGGATGGACGGACGCGCAGGCAGTATGTCAACTTAATATGAATCTTGATGGACGGGCAGCCGATTTTGTAGAAGCGTTACCCGCGAGCGCACAGACACAGCAAGAGGAGCTGATGCGCCAACTCGATCAGCGTTTTGGCACGCGTGACGAGGAGGAAGCAAAATCGGCCTTAGAGGCGCGCCGTCGCCAACCTGGCGAAGATCTACGTGATTACGCCGAGGATGTGCGCGAGTTAACAAAGATCGCACGCCCAGGGTACGCAACTGATGTTATTGAGGAACTGGCCGCCGAGAAAATCCAGCGGTACCTGTCTCGCACGGCGTGGTGGCAGCCAGACATGAGCTGCCCACGTCTTCCCTTTAACACCCTTGTCGAGCGCGCACGTAAGTGTGAAAGAATTCACAGCGAACGCGCGCAGCTCCGGGGGCTGGGACGAGAGCGCGCCATTGCGAGCCTGCACTCGGAAGACGAGGAGGAAGAACAGGAGCTCGCGAGGACGGTAAGGGGCCGGGAAAGAGAGCCACAGAGACCCAGCGAGACGACCCCGGGTTGGGTAGCCGGGCTACAGACCGGCATAGGAGATATACGCGAGGAAGCAAATAAAAATGTGAAGACCATCCAGTCTGAGATGGGGGGCTGGCCGGGAAGGTATCCCAATTAGAGTCCGAGTTGGAACAACTGCGTACAGGGAGAGGGAGCGGGCAGGGGACCCACTACGGAGCCGCCACCCCTCCCCGGACGTGTTATGTTTGCGATCGGCGAGGGCACCTCAGGAGGGACTGTCCTCAGGTCGCCCGAGCTAGACAAGAGCTAAGGTCAAACACTAAGGCCCCCCTAGAGAGGGGACCACCGGGGGGTGAAATCGACGTAGCCCCGACACGAACAAGCTGTAGTGATAATGGCGAGCGAGTGATCTCCACACAGGTTCCAGCAACAACGCCCACGGAAACGGTGACTCCTGGCGACTGGCTGCGGGAGCTGGTGGCGGGGATCACGGGGGCCACGTCGCTGGTGGAAGGGGAGGTAAACGGAGTGCGTACCCGAATCCTGCTGGACACGGGGGCGGTGGCCTCGCTCGTGAGCGCAGCGCACTGCAGCGCGATCGGGGTCGACGTGCGTCACCTGCAGGCACCGGACCGCGCGCTGCACACGGCGAGCGGAGCCGGAATGGGGCTGCTGGGGAGAGCCACCCTAGAGGTCCGCATAGGCAGTCAGGTGTGCACCCAGGAGTTCTACGTGTCGAGTGCGTTGTGTCACGAGTGTATCGCAGGTACTGACCTCTTAGAACGGCTGGGACTCAACGTGCAACCCCGCCAGCGATGCGCCACCATGGAGAGCAACGGCGAGCGGATACCGTTCTTGGGACGAGAACCGACGCGCCCCCGCTTCGCACTTGTGGCCGCTATCCTGGCGACGGCAGTCACCATCGGCCCGCTCACCGAGATGCTGGTGCCGGTGGCAACATCCCCCACCGACCCCGCGCTCCGACCATCAGGAGAGGTAATGCTAACTCCTCACCCGGAGTTGGCAAAACGGTATGGGATAGTGGGATCCGCCACATTGGTAAACGCAGATGGGGACCGATTGTTTATGCGGATGTTTAACCCCCACAATACCCCAGCGATACTGCGACGGCGCACCCCGATAGCCACCGTACACCCCCTGCACGCACGCCACTCTAACGAATCGGTGTTCGCACTCTGGGCTGAGGACCCCGGGCGTCCTGAGGGTGACCAGGACCTGGCCTGGCGAGTCGGCCCGACTCCCCGAGCCGAGGTCGTTCCCCTGCTCGACGCGTTACATGTACCATGGGCGGATTTACCTAAGGGAGAGGCCGATCGGCTGCGCGAGTTACTGCGGGAGTATGCCGACGTATTCAGTGAACACGACTCGAACGTGGGTCGGACCGATCTTGTTAAGCACCAAATTGACACCGGTGCAGCCCGACCCATCAAACTCCCTGCGTACCGAGTGGGCGCACCCGAACGCGCCCAAATCAAAGAGGCAGTTGGGGACATGCTTCGCGATAACATAATTCAGCCCTCGGCGAGCCCCTGGTCAGCCCCGGTGGTACTAGTAACGAAAAAGGATGGGTCAAGTCGGTTCTGCGTCGATTACCGTAAACTAAATGCAGTCACGCTCGGCGATGCCTTCCCCATACCCTGCATCGACGACACCTTCGACAGTCTCGCAGGAGCGCGGTATTTTTCCACCCTCGATCTGGCGTCCGGTTACTGGCAGGTGGAGATGACGGAGGAGGATCGGCCAAAAACAGCATTCACCACCCCGATGGGCCTGTTTGAGTTTCGAGTGTTGCCGTTCGGACTCACTAACGCGCCCGCGACGTTCCAGCGGTTGATGGAGTTGGTGATGCGGGGCTTGCAGTGGGAACAGTGCCTGATTTACTTGGACGATGTGATAGTGTTCAGTAGATCTTTGTCTGAGCATTGGTCCAGGCTTCGAGAGGTGTTCCAGCGACTGCGAGCGGCTCATCTCAAGCTCAAGCCACGTAAGTGTTACATCGCACAACGCGAGGTGGGGTACCTCGGGCATCGCGTCAGCGAGGCAGGCGTGCACACCGATCCGGAGAAGGTACGCGCCGTAGTGGAGTGGCCACGGCCAAGGAATCTGACGGAGATCAGATCATTTTTGGGGCTCGCCACCTATTATCGTCGATTTGTAAAGGGATTCAGCGAGATTGCACGCCCCCTCACCCAACTCACCTCCCCTAAGCACCCCTATCAGTGGACGGGGGCCTGCCAGACGGCCTTCACCACTCTCAAAGACCACCTCACCCACGCCCCCACCCTCGCTTTCCCCGATTTTACCGCCGATTTTAT